ATATATGATGTTTCAGATTTTATCAAAAGATAATGATCGATATTCACTGTCGGTTCTTATATTTAACTATCTTAAGTAGCAGTCGTAAGATATTATAAATGATTTACATATCTGTAATCACAGGTCGGTATTCTCATTGTGTGCCGGTATTCTCATTTTTATATTTAAAATTATCTTAAGTACGATCTTAAGATATCATAAATCAATTACAAAGCCATATTAGCATCTTAAGACATTTGTAATCCATTTTTATTTCCAGCCTATCATATGTAATATCTTAAGATGTTAATACAGCTTTTAGTTCATAAAATTTTAAGATTGTATTTAAGACAGTCTTAAATATAAGAATCGATTATGAATATCGGTCTATAAATTTCGGCCAAAGAATATTAATGAATATCAGCTAAAGATATAATAAAATAATTTTCCTAATTTCATAAAATTAATAAATATTAGGACATTAATATTCATGCAGTTTATTATTTCGTTTGCTAATGGCAACTGTGATATTAATTTTTTGAAATGCTTTAGATAAAGCTGATAAGATATTATCTACATCTAAATAAGAATTTTATTCATCATTATAACTCAGTCATTTGATATTTGAACGCGATACACAGTGATAGCAAAGACATGAAGAAAGTATATCTCGCTGCTATAGCAGGTACGTCATTTGCATAAAATTGAGTAAAATTTTATCAGAAATTTTTATGTTTTATTATGCCAACTTTAAATTAAAATATTTTTTTAGCTGTAGAAATAAACGTCTTAGAATTAAAAGAATTTCGCGAGTGAAATTAACGAATAGAGAATAATTTGTCAAGTGAAATCTATAAAGAATCTTTATAAATAAAATTTGTTCTCTTCTATGTAAATAAAAAAATAAAATTTGTGATGTATATATTAAAACTTAATTCTTCAAAACCTTTTATTTTAGGAAATCTAGGTTCGTTGTCAGTGGGTTTAAATATGGGATGGGCATCGCCATCCATGCCTTTATTAATAAATGGTGATGGTGCTGGATATCCCGTGCGTTTGAATTTGCAAGAAATCTCTTGGGTGACATCTTTATTTACTCTTGGTGCCGTCCCGGGTTGCATTATTTCCGCATTAACAGTGAATATCATCGGCAGAAAGAACACCATGCTATTTTCAGCTGTGCCTTCGGCAATTGGTTGGTTGCTTATAGTCTTCGCAACCTCATCGCCGGTAATAGCTATATATATTGAGTATAACATCCGAGTATTTTTTAGAAAATATAGATAATAAAAATATTAAAAGTTAAAATTTAAAATATTCGTGAGCTATTAATTCTACATTGAATTATAAATATTCATAATCCTAATTATTCTTATCTTTCAAACAAAATTCTTCTAAGTTTTTCAATTTCTTAAAGTACTTTGTAGAAATATGCACATTTTAAAAGTACATTTAAATTATATATAACTGTAGCTTTTGACAGCATAATCTATTTTTCTTGGATCTCTTTGAATATTTCGCGACTTTCAGTTTAAATTCCAGACTCTTTTTTTCGCGACTTTATTTCGCTGTAATATGAAATCAAACTTAAAATCTCTATCTTTAATTAACAAGAAATGTTTTTCTTCTTAGCAAGCCTTCTTTTGATAAGCTTTTTTTACTTCGCAGGATCTATATATATCGAGGTTTTTATCCGGACTGGCTATGGGCATGCATGTTACAGTCATGCCTATGTATTTGGGCGAGATTTCGCCAGCAAACATTCGCGGTTATTTGGGATCCATGTTGATAGTCGCTATGAAACTTGGTGTTTTGATTGAGTTCACAATAGGTCCGTTTCTTTCAGTGAAAAATCTTGCCTTTATCTCTTTGGCGGCACCTTGTCTGTTCGTGGTCATTTTTATCTGGTTACCAGAATCTCCGTACTATTTGATACGCTGCGACGCCAAGGAGAAAGCTATAAACTCTCTTATTCAATTGAGAGGCAAAAAGGATGTTTATAAGGAGGCAGATACCATTGAGCAATCTGTAAAAGTCGATTTGGCTAACAAAGCTGGTTTTCGTGAACTCCTATTTATACCAGGAAATCGCCGGTAAGACGTCACATTTCGATCTATCATTATGTTTTTTGTGGCTGAATTATAATGTATAAGTATACTATTAGTATAAGTATACTAGTAGTAACTTTTGGAATTTAAAGAGATAGGAATATATATATATATATATATATATTTGATATTTGGCGAAAGCAAGAAAGAGAGTTTTAGTGCAGTCTAATGCAGGAGTAAAAAACAGATCTAATGTATCAATAATCCTAGCCAAAACTTGTAGAGATAAATTTTGAGAACAATATGTTATCAATTTCTGTTGACAGTAAAATATCAAACTTCATACAAATGATTAAGTCTGGAAAGTGTAATATATCTGACGATCTCGACAAATTGCCGGAAATCCCCGTTACATAAAACTGATAGGAAACGATAGGAATCTATATAATATCTGTCAAAAATTATCATTTATCTATATTGTTTCACTTTTTATATTCCAAAAGAAATGTTATCGTTTTTTATCATTATCTGAAAACGGATTTAATCCAGTTGGAAGACGATAGAAATCTTTATATTCTTTTACAAATTTATTATTCTTTACAATTTTGAAAGAAAATCTATAATTGTTAATAATTTATTAACAGATTTATTTATTAACAGATGATTCAAAATTTATCTTATAAAATTATAACAGAAACCATTTTGTAATCGATCATACAATCGCAACAACGAACGTTGCGATATTTTCCCATCATATTATTATGATTAAAAATTTTTATTTATCGTGCATGAACGTTACGTAATTCAAAACATATCTTATCATAAAGTTAAACAACGGGAAGTAGTACACGAGCATTATGCGACCTCATCATCAAATGAATCGGAGTTCTATTTCTCATAAGTAGAACCATACAGAATAAGATAAAAAGTGTAGTGTTATGAGATTCTTCATAATTTCTTGAATACGAATTCTCAAATTAAGTTTGAAAAGGATAGTAAACAAGAAATATATTTTGAATTTCTAATTCTGCAACAAATTAATTCAAAATAATTCCTGGAAGTTATATATGTATAAAAATGTGTTAATATGTATAATAGCATCTGAAATATTAACACCAAAACTCAATAAATTTCTGTACATTCATAATTATTTATTTATGAAGAAAAATATTAATATAACATATAAAATAGTTATGAAAAAAAAAAGAAACGATGAAGAATTACTTGTGGATTTATGATTTCATTGTGTAACTACGATTTTAAGCTATGAAAAGAAATGATAAGAAACGATAAATAAAATAATTATGAAAGAAAATGATAGCAAATCATTTTCCTTCATAATTATTTACGATATTCTTTTGTTAATTTCTGATTCATAAGTAACTGTGAGTAAAAATGGCTGAATTATTTCCTATCGTTTCTTTTGATCTTCTTTTAATAAGGATATGACAATTATTGCTTGTTTGCCATGCTATATATTCCTACTGAAAAAAATCACGTTAGACAGTTGCATAATGAAATTATGTAATTAAAACATTTAAAACAATGTAATGGATTCCAAATTAGTACGTGATGTTAAAATTATGTATTTTGAAGAGTCACGTGATGATATATTCTTTTTTCTTCTATTTCTATCATTCAATTCTTTAAATTTGATAACTATAAAATCACATGCTGGACAAAATTATTTCTAATATTATGTGATTTTTCAAATTACATCGTTTAAAAAAATCATGTACGGATTTGGAACAATCCGTTACATGATTTACATGTTTTAATTACATAATTTCATCATGTAACGTTGTAACATGATTTTTTTCAGTATGCCAGCGGATTTGCGGAAGAAATGAGCAGGATTTGCAGCTCTTGCTCGGTTTTTACTGCCAGTCTGCCGTTATCACCCACGCAGATTCTGCTTGCTTTCTGCCATCAATCTACTGGTACATAACATGTTAACAGACTCTGTCGATAGATTCTGAACTTAATGCGGACACAGATTGCTGGATGGATCTGCAGTAGGAGTCTAATTAAATTTGCTGCCAATCTTCCAGCAAACTGTTTGAATATAACTTGGTTATATTCGCGAACTAATATGAAACTTTCGATTTTTTTACCGTGGCATTACAAATAAATATTAGATTATATTAGTAAAATATTAGATAAATATTGGTTTAAAAATTTTAGTATTAATAATCTTTAAGAAACTCGGAGTTATTGATAATAATTTTTAATAAAAGTTAAAACTATCTATTTTATTATACAGAATTAACGATCGATTTAACTGATAAATTCGAATATCAAATTATTCGATTGACTAATTTTGCAGAGCTTTAACAACATTGGTGTGTCTGGTCATATTTCAACAGTTGAGTGGCTCTCAAGCCCTGTTGCAGTACGCTCAAATAATTTTCGATAAGATGAACAGTAATCTGGAAGGCAAATACTTGACTATAATACTGGGCGCCATGCAGCTAGTCTGCACGATTGTCTGCATGATTATCACTGATTGCAGCGGCAGAAAGTTATTATTGACGATCTCCGCTATCGGTACAGCGTGCTCCACTGCCATAGTCGCAACATATTTTCATCTTCAATACAATCACGTGGATATCAGCAATATAACGTGGTTACCCGCTGTAGGCGTGATCCTATTCATAGTCATGTACGGCCTCGGTTTATCAGTGTTACCGTACACCATGGCTGGTGAATTGTTTTCCATGAATGTGAAGGCCCTCGGCAATATGATAGGCATGATGACGATGACAATCGTAGCGTTTGTCGTCACGAACTTATATCTGATTATAAGTGAAGGTGCCGGTGTGCATACGCCGTTCTGGATATTTACCGCGTGCTGTTTTGTCGCTGCTATATTCACGTTTTTCTACGTACCTGAAACTAAAGGCAAAACGTTGGAACAAATACAAAGAAAATTGCATAATCCATCGAAGTGAAAAGAATTTGAGAATGAACGTGTCGATCTTCTCTTGATGAATATTTGAAGAATATTAATTTATAAAATGTTCGCGTTTTATTGACGAAAACAAGATTAAAAAGCCTTTCGAGATCATAAAATGTAATAGAAACTTAGTAATGGATGATTTTTAAATATAATGTACCAAAGATGTAAAATAGAATATTTAGTGCTGTAGAGTCAACTTAAGAAATCTCATTTTTAAGTAACCTTATAAAAAACTAACGGAATTAGATCTAACAAATATTATTGAAACATAAACAAATATACATATATGTAT